GATTCTCTTTGACGATCAATTTAGAAACATTTATGAATGAATGAATGAAAGTCTGTAGAATGATTACATTGAATACGAAAAGATTGTTCAGAAAGAATCCCGAAACAAATTATACAAATTAAATAATCATTTTGTTTTGTTTTGTTTTTTTCAAATTCATTTCCAACATTGAATACCAAATGAATGAATAAATTGATGTAAAAAAATTCAATTTTCTAAATTGAAAACAGCAACAACACTTTGAAATAGTGAGAAAATGACCAGAAGATCCTTTTTTTATGGAAATAAAATTCTTTATCAATCAATTTTGAGCGAAATGCAAGATGAGAAAGAGAGAATTTCTTAAAATGAAATTGAAATTCTCTTTTTGCTTCTTTCTCGCATTTGTAAAGCCAAATTCAATTTGAATATTCAGCAGGAAATGAACGAGAAGAATGAAAAGCGAAATTTTCTTCTGCTGTTTTTCATCAATTGAAATTCAAAACATCAAAAACATTTAACCAAAAGCGATTCACTGTGCTTGCTCATCATTTGCATTTGTATATCTGTATAGTGTCTGTTAATGTTTATTTTGTTTTGTTTTTTTCAGTTTTCCGAACTTTAAATTTTTTACTTTTTTCATCATCATTTCAATCTCAATTGAATTCAATCAATTTTGGTTCAAAGATGCTACACTATCCTATCTGTGTTTATCTAAAGCAAGAATATATTTTTTTTTTATTTTCAAAACTTTTCCTCTTAAACTTTTTCCTATCTGAATCCAGCCAGAAAAAAAAGGAAATCGATCTTTTTTTTACCCAAAACGAAGCCGGAATATTGTTTCGAAATGAAAATAAACTTTTTTTGTATCCCTCCGATATCAAAACAACAGAAAGAATTCACTCTGATAATGAAATCAATTTTCAAGGGATGATTAAAAGGAAAAAGTTTCAAGTTTTCTCTTTTTCTTTTTGTTTGAACTTTTTCTCCCCATTTATATTTTGTTTCAATTTCTTTAACTGATGACGCATCGTTATCATCATCATTATCAGTGATGATAATGATGATTTTCAAGTAATGAGAAAAGAAAACATTGATTTTCATTTTTGTCATGTAACATTGATGATGATGATTGAATAATTGAATTTTCATTTGAAAAAAGGTGGAAAGAAGAAGAGAAAAACATTTTTTTAGTTGTTTTTGGTTTTAGTCAGCAATTTTTATTCCAAAAATCATCATTCCAACGGGTTAAATCAATATTTTTCTTTTCAATTAAGAATTTTTTCACTTTAAAAACAAAGTTTTTTTCCCCATTTATATTGATGATGGCCAATTATCAAATCACACACACATGTGTAGGATGTGTATCTGGATGATGAGAGTTGATGACAGCTACGACAACACTTTGGCATCTAATCGGTCAAATTATCAACTTTTTTTCATTCATTCATTCAGTTGTTACACTACTACTGGTTGATTTCATTGTCTGCAAGTTCACCATTGCTGACATTTATTTATGACAAATGTTCAACAAAAAAAAACAACAATGATTGATCACCATTCATCATCATCATAAAAAATTATAGCAAAACATATAGAGACACTGACTATAGTCGGTCAGAGTCAATTCAGGTCATAGAAATAAATCAGCAGCAGCAGCATTTTTACTCATCACCTATCTACCCACCACTCACTTACCCAGACAGACAAACAAACAATCACACAAAAAAACAAATTTCAACATGAAATATATCCACTGAAAAAAAATGAAATAAAAGTAAATTATGAATGAGAGGAGAGATACATTGGACATCATACACGTACATTCGTATACAACGGTAATCATAGACATAGATAACGGTAATAATAACCGAAAATTATTATTATTATTATTGTTGGTAGTGTTGGTACATGTAATTATTACGATGACGACAATGATGATTATGATGATGATGATGAAAACATTTATTACTAAAAATGTATCTATATAGGTAGATACATACCTGCCATTTATTTATTTTTGTTTGTTTGACTTGACTTTTTTGTTTGTTACATTTTCTATATCAAAATGATGATGATGATGATGATAGTATCACTAATTAATCATCAAAGAAATGTGCTATATGTATGTGTGTGTGTGTGTGTGTGAGTGTATGAGACACGCACAAGATACATTTTCCATCTAGGAACATTTTATTTCAAAAATATATTATATATCCGACGTGTGACATGACAGAAGGTTCTTATCGTATAGAAATAGAAAACAAGAACAGAGACAAAAACACATTGTATTATTTATTTATTTAGATTCTAGAAATTCCTATCTAGTTTATTGACTTTTGATTATTATAGTGAAAGAAGTAATCAAAAAAAAGCACAAAGTTTCAAAAAAATTTGAAATTCAAATTCTTTTTTCAATTTTTCTATATCGATTTCATATCATCATTATTCAATAAAGAATCCAATATTTTTTGTTTTCCATAAGGGAATATTACAGCAACAACAACATAATATGATATTGGAGATAATCAATTAAGGGAATTTTTTTTTCGTTTTTTGTTTCACAAATCATCATCATCATTATATCATAAAATAACACCCACACACATACAACGATCAAACAAATTGAATAACCATCATCCTGATGATCATGATCATCATCCATCAAAACAGCCATCAAAAAATAGTGTTTCAAATATTGTCAGGAAAAGAACAAAAATGAAATGCCTTAAAGCTTTCGAAGAGAGAAAAAAAACAATAGACAATATTCTTTCTCCATCATCATCATCATCAAATTGAATAAAAGTCAAGTGCATTTGATGATCCAAACAAGCAAAAACGAAAATATCTCCTGGGATATTCTAGAATAGAGAGAGAATATTCTTTCTTCAATCTTTCAATTCAGTTCCAAAGAAAAATTTATCCAAAAAAATAGAAAATATGAATTTTTCAAGTGAAGAAATGCAAACTGAAAGATATTTTTCATTTTTCTGCTTCTTTCAAAATATTCAATATTCGATTTAACCAACCAAAACTAAACTAAACTAACTGTCAAATACATACGTCTGGTAAACGGAATGAAAACAACAAAGATTTTTCTGATCATGATGATCTTAACAACACACACTGAGAGAAACATAATGGGGAATGTATTTTTTGGATGGTAGGAAAAATTATTTTCATATTTTCTTGCGATTGTTGGTTGTCGATTGTCAATATTTTTATATGTTTTGTTTGTACATTGAACACACACATATTTATGCAATTTATCCGATAACAAATCAAGCGCATCAATCGAAAACGAAGGAAATGAAGAAAAATCCATTTTACCTTATAATATTCATTTTGACTTTTCGATTTGGAACAACAACAACAAAATAACAAATCGAAATGAAAGAATATGTTTCATATGAATAAATGTTTGCTCCCATTTCAAAAATATATTACAAGGAACTTATTTTTATCAAAAATCTTATTAAATGTAATAAAAATGGAAAAATTCAGCTCCTTTATCAGTGATCATCATCGTTACAATTATCGTTGCAATTCACAAATGATATTTTTCTTTTTTTAAAAGGAAAAAAACCACTAGAGGCAATCGATAGATTCATCATCATCATAATAATAATAAGATTATTATTGCTGTTGCTGGTTGACGAAAAAAAACGAACGAGATACAATTATGAGGGTAGTTTTATTCTGAAAATGATGATGAAAATGTACATTTTCATTTCATTATCGTTTGTTATTTCTTTATGCATAGATATTCTCATTACATTTGGTTGGGTTTTCAGTTTTTGATCATCTTGAGTTCCAAAGAACGAAAAAAAACAATTAGAAAGAAAAATAATTAAGAACTTTTTCCAAGAAGATGAAGAAGAAACGACTATAACCATTTCATTTTTGAAATGCAAATCAATCAACTAACCAAGCGAACAAAAAAAAAACATTGTTTTTTAGCAACAACAACAAAAAAATATGATCAATAATCATGTACGAATCATTATCAGTACCGGTATATGTTTTTTGTTATCAAAAAATGAATAATTTTTTTCTGTTTCCTACCTGCCGACCTGAACCATATGTTAATTAAAATATGTTCCATTTTACCTGAAACCTTGGTGGGAATATATTAAAATTTTTCGGTCAACCAACAACAACAACAAAAAGTCATTATGATTATTAATCGAAAAATGAATGTAAATGATTTTGATTATTAATTGAATGAACAAAATGAAAAAATATTGATCAAAACAAAAAAAAAACTAACAACAAAAACACAGCTTGGGTTTTGTGTTAATCAGGTTTTTTTTGAAAAAAAACCAGGTAACAGAAATAAAAAATCACCTGGATAAATGAATCAACAACCAAACAAAATGAAACTACGGTGTTTTACCTATTGGTAGTCAGGTGAAAATAAATGTTTTGTATATGTAAAAGTTCTCATTCACTCACTTCAAATTCAATTCATATCGACAAAAATGAAAAAAAAATTCTGTTTCCTAATGATTTTTCTCATTCATTCGTTGTTCGATTTGATATTTTTTTCAATAATAATAATAATAATAATAATAATTTCTGACAAACATAAATAAATGTTGTTGTTGTTTTTCATTATGTCAACGACAGCTGACAATGAAACAATATTCAGGAATTTTAACAATAACAGCGACGACAACAACAACTTTTTTTTGTTGTTGATTATGTAACACACACACACACACACACGAAATGTACATTGTGAATACAATTTACTTGTTCAATGAAAATTGATCGATTTTTTTTCTTTCACTTTTTTTCGCTTATATGATAAATGAATAGAAAAGAATATTTGAGAAAAATACTAAGGAATAAAGAAAATTCCGTTGTTATTTGTTTTGTTTTGTTTTTTGTTTTTGTTTCGTGTTAGAAATCAAAATGACAAGTATTTTGTACAACGGTATCAACAAAAAAAAAAAAAAACGTTAAGAATCGATATGAATTTTCTTTTCAAACGAAAAATAAAGAATGAAAATCTTTACCTGAAATTAATTGTAATAATATTAATGATATTAATAACATTTTTCCAATCGAATTCCTGATTGATGAAATATTCTGTAAACAATGTTGATGATGATTATGTATTGGTGGCCATAATTGCCAATGAAATAATGATTTTCTGATAATGAACATTGATTTTAAATTCATGATTTTTTTTGATGGACAATATAATTTTTTTTCACACAGAAGTTGATTTGAATTGATTGCACACAAGAATTGATTTGTTGGATAGAATCGGATGAGGAACGGAATGGAAATTACATTGAATTTTTGTTTTCGAAAACAAAACGCATAGAGAATGTATTACACACACATTTCGTATTTTTTTGCAATATGCTTTTGTCTCGTATAATCTCTTTTTGTCCCAAAGTTAGTTGCTGTTGATCAGACTAACAACAGAATCAAGAATGAAAGAATTTTTTTTTTGTTGGTGAAAAACACCAAACAAAAAAAAGTATCAAACTTTGTTCAAATTTACAACCACTACTTTAGATCCAATTGGTTGATAATGATAGCAGCAAATAAAAAAGGAAACTGAAATTCTGGAAACAAACAAAACAAACGAAAAAAATTCTGGTAATTTATCACGAAATTCTCGATTCTCTCTTGATGTCTGCTGTACAACTATGTGAGATTCATCCATATGTATACAAATCATGCTCCGTTCATGATGCGTTCAGTGACGAAACAACAAAATGGCCCATATGAACAATGTTTTAATATTCTGTGTGTTTTTTTCTCTTTTGCTTTTGGCTATTGGTATTCGATGTTCTTGTACAAAACCAAAAATCTAGCAAACAAAATTATTCAGATTTTTTTCTCGACTTTTGGGTTATCCCAAACAAACAAAAACAAACGAAAAAAACTTTGTGGCCAGTAAAAACAAAGCCAGTTGTTTAATCGAAATCAAACCAGCAAAAAAGTGGTTGTTTAACAAGGTGTATTTTTTTCCTGGTAAAAATCAAGAATCACATGTTCGGGTGGAAATTCTGTTTCGGGAGAGATAGAGTAAAAAAAGCATTTCAAACAAACAAACAAAACTAAACTAAATGGAAAAGTTTTCAAGTGTCAAAAATTCAAAAAACATTTCATTTCAAGTTTAATATGAACAAGTAAATTATTCACTCACACACACACACATCAAGGATGATGCAAGGAGAAAAAAACATCTTCAAAAAAATTCTAGTTTTTTTTCGAATGAAAAACCAAAAACAAAACAAAATGAAAAAAAAATTCTTGAACAGAATCTGCAGGAATTTTTGTTTGAAAGAAGAAAAACAAAACAAAAAAAATGGAAATGATAATTACAATTATCTTGTCTCTCTATTTTTAATATGTCTGTCATCATGATCATCATCATTATAGCTTTTAACCAGTTTTTTCTTCTGTTTCATTCATTAAATGTTATTATCAGCTTTCATCATTAACATGGAAAAAAATATGGAATATCATCATCATCAACAACGAATTAATTCCATTTTAATGATAACAAATGAGTGAAAATAAGCGAAAGAGAGATGCATATTATGACCAGAAAAAAACTGCTACTTTATACAATGTATAATACAGAATTTACATATTCAGTATACGATTCTGTGTGACAGAATTTTAATCCAAAAAATTTTTTTTTGCTGATTTTAATGTTTATTTGACAAAAAAAAAATTTGTTTTCCATAGTTGTTGTTGTTGTTGATGTTAATGTTGTTGTAGAAAAAATTTTTCAACAACAACAACAACAACAAAATTATCTGCAAAAAAAATGTTTACGAATAAAATTCAAATATGACATGTTTGTGTTGTAAGCAGTGATGATGGTTTTTTTTTCTGAACTAAGTGACAATGTTTTGTATGTGTAATGATAATAATAAATATATTTGCCCTGTGGCTATTTTGACTTTAACAACCGAAAAAAAATGCGAAATAGTTTATTTTTTTGAACCAAATGAAGATAAAGTTGTTTTTTTTGGAAACTTTTCAAAAAGATTTTTTCTTTTTGCTGAAAAAAATTTGAAAATTGAAAATCAATAAAGTTCAAAAAAACAATGACAGAAAATCATTGATTTTTGGTAAAACTTTTTGTTTTGATAACTTTTGCAGAAAAAATATCTATCATCTTAGATCTTAGACTAGATAGATCAATCACAAATGAGAGAGAAAAAAATTAAACTTCTTTTTTAACCGATTAAATCTAAAAACAAAGGTATTTCCGGGAAACTTTCCCGAAAAAAAAGATACGAATTCTAATCAAATCAGCAACAAACCAAACACCTCGAGTTTTCAACAAACTAAAAAAAAATTGCTACGTTGACACCATCACTTATAAGCGATTCTATGAAAATGATTGATTATAATTGATTTTTTCGTTTCGTTTCGTTTCGTGATTATAAATTCATTCATAGAATTTATGTATAGCCCATTATTATACTTATGATGATGATCAGTATTATATTCCATACGGTTATTATTCAAGCCAGATAGGAAAAAACACTCAAATATTGGGCTGGGAATTTTGTTTTTTTTTTGTTGAAATTCTTTGAAGCAATCAAAACCTTTACAATAATCAACCACCGCAACCACCATTATCATCATTCAAATTATTTCGATGACATTATTCTTTTCGCGGTAATTTATGGAATAATGATGATGGTGCTAACAACAGAATAATCAAATTTTCCTGGGCAAATAATTGCCCAGGAAAACAAAAATGGTTTTATCGGGCGACAGAAAGCGAGCAACACCTTTTGAAAAATTATTTTCAAATAAATTTTTGTTTTGCTGAAGAAAATTTGAATAAAAATTCATTTTTCCCTGTTGTTGTTGTCGGCCATTATTCCATTCAAATCATTCATCGTTGTAAAGCAGAGAGAGAGAGAGAAAAAACACAAGTTTCTTTTTCTTGCTAAACAACAAACATAATGATCATCAAACACAATGAATGAATGAGAATATAACCACCAAAGGCGCCATTTCTTTTCATAAATGTCGTTTATTATATTTTTTCAAACAACAACAACAACAGAAAATATCCATTATTTTAGATTTATGATGTTTAAGGATGGGTTGAGAAAGAAGACAGAGAAAGAGAAAAGAAAAACAGTAACAAAAGAAAAGTGATGCAAATCAAAAAAGAAAAAACTGAATTTCATCATAATTTCATTTTTATTTATTTATAATGGCTTTTTTTTTGGTGGAATTTTTTTCAGATGTGTTTGAATATTGGTTGTTGATAATGGTGATAAGAAGAATTATTTGGTTCTGGAGTTTGAAAAAACACTTGAAAAAATTGAAAATTTTCATGTTATTTTGTTTCGCAAGTGAACAAAGAAAAAAACAAAGCAGATTTTTTTTTCGCCGAGCATTTTCGATGATGAAGAATCCTAATCTTGACAGTTTGTGCAAGTGAAATAAAAAATCACAATTGATTGACAGAATCATTGAAAGATTCATTTTTTCCGTAAAATCAATGTTTTTTTATAAAAAAACTTTGCTAATTATTTTTGAGACTAATATTCTTAGCAGAAGTAGAATTTCATCGATCCAATGTCATTATTCAGTTCATTCAGCGACAGAATTCAAGAACATCGGTTTATCTAATTTCTTAATTTTTTGACATTTTCAATCAGTTTTTCAGTCAAATTTATTCGACAAAAATTTCTCTCAAATCCAATTTGACAAATCTTCTTTCACATTTTGATGAATATTACCATTAAAACGAAAGAGATGTGGTAACAAAAAAAATTGTCTTACAAGACGAAACTAACAACAAATTGGATACAATTTACACACACACACATGGAGTAAACATATAAATCCAAAGAAAAAAATAACAAAACAAAATTCTTGACGCCCAGAATTTCATTATTGCTGTTCTGTTGTGTTTGTGTTTTTGTTTTCGTGAATCAAATTCAATGTTGTTGTTGTTTCATAGCTGAAATGAACCATACAAACACCTCAATTATTATTCTAAACATATAAAAACACCACACACATAAAGGTTGAATCATTTTGTGTTTAGGGAGAGAGAGAGAAAAGANAAATATAATAATAATGAAAGTCAATGAAGTGTATGGTTAAATTGTTTTTTGATTTGCTCTGTTTTGTTTTGTTTTGGCTGTTTGGTTGTTTTGCTGTTTTCGTATTTGTCAAACTGAAAAAGAATAATGAAATGAAAAAATAACGATACTGAGAAATAAATCGACCAAGTGGAACCAAATTTGGAATCTTCATGTTTTTTTCCTTCCAATTTGAACCCAAACAAAATGACAATAAAATGAGAAAATTGGCTACGACATGATGTTTCGATTTTGTTTGTTTTTCTGGAATTTTTCCAATCAAACGATGATGATGATCCAAATCAATTATCAATTGATGAATAAATCAAGCTGTATCAAGTTAGATTCTAAGAAAATTTCATATTTTTAAACATAATTTATGAATAACCCCCATAAAATTGTATCATTCTGTAATAACGATGGTAATTTGTTTAAATAAATAGGGAAAAAAAACAAATAACGGTAATCAAAATGATTCGGAATAATAATAATAATCAACCGAAATAACAAACAAATAAACCGTTTTTTTTTTTTTGACTGAATATTGAGTTATGAAAACACACAATGAAAAAAGAAATTATCTTAATGATCGAAACAAAAAATGGCAATAACATTGGTAGAAACGAGAAAGAAATCGACCGAAAATGTTATTACAAGAAAACAACCATAATAACAACAGATCCAATATGAATGTTTCTAATATTGACATTGGTGGGTATGTTAAAGTAAAGCAAAACGTGAATTACATGTAAAATAAATAAACAGGAAAAAACCAAGAATTTTATTGCAAATCACACACACAGACACAGAATCCAGAATGTTTACCTGAATGTTTTTCTTAACTAGGTTGACTGTTGGGATTTTATTCTCTCTGATATCATCAATGATGATGATGATATTACCTGCTGCCTTTACATGATAATAATAATGATGATGTTTTTTCTTTTTTTTTCGTTTGATTCTTTAGAATTTGATCATCATCA